CCCCAAAACCCCAAAACCCCAAAACCCCATGAGTATCAATATGTCTAAATCACAATTATTTACAAATTATTTATTAAGATAATTAAACTAATGGAAAAGTCAGAAGTAGAAGCTCAAAAAGATTAACTTGAAGCAACTTAAGATAACCCTAATGCTCAAAATGAAGTAACTAATGATTTAAAGAATATTCAACTAATCATCGTTTAATTAATAGGAAAAGAAGAAAAAGAAGAAGAAAAAGAAGAATAAAAACAAGGAAGTAACAGAGGAGTAAAAAGACACTGAAAATCAAGATTTAGCTAAAACTCTGCAAGATAATGTTCAGTAAAGCAAACCTGAATAGAAGAAATAGGTTGAAGAAGAGAAAAAAGGAGATGATAATGAAGGAGACGATGGAGAGAGTGGTGATGAAGAAGAAAAAGATCCAGCTAAGAAGAAAAAGAAGAAGAGAAGTAAGTTCTAAATCTAGACTAATTAATTTAACATTATCTATTTATTAGACAGAAAGAAGAAGAAGGCTGGAGAAGGAGCATCGTCAGATATTGTTTATGATTTGAGAGAACAAGACAATTCATTATTCAGAACATTAGGCTCGTGGAAAGCAGGTGATTACAGGCAAACTAGCCCACCAACTATTCCTATCGTTTAGTAATACAAAGATGGGAAATATCCTGTTAATGAGATCTAGGAATACACTTAAGATCACAATAGAAGAAGAATTACAGATGCAGAATTCAGAGAGAAGGAAAGATTATTTAACTCAGACTATGAAGTATTGAGAAAAGCAGCAGAGTGCCATAGGCAAGTAAGAAAGTATGCTTAGCAGTATATCAAGCCAGGAATGAAGCTAGTAGATATTTGTGAAGCCATTGAAAATACCAATAGAAGATTGATTGAAGCGAATAAATTAGAAGCAGGCATTGCTTTCCCGACAGGAGTTTCTATCAATCATGTAGCTGCTCATTACACTCCAAATCCAGGCGATCAAAGAGTACTTGAGAAAGATGATGTGATGAAAGTTGATTTTGGTACTCACGTGAGAGGTTTGCTAGTGGACTGTGCTTTCACAGTAGCATTTAATCCTAGATATGATAATCTTCTTATGGCTGTAAAAGATGCAACTAATACTGGCATCAAGGAAGCAGGAATAGATGTGAGACTTTGCGATATCGGAGAAGCTATCTAAGAAACTATGGAAAGTTATGAAGTAGAAATAGATAACAAAGTCTATCCAGTTAAAGCAATCAAGAATTTATGTGGCCATTCAATCGCTTAATATCACATTCATGCAGGTAAAAGTGTGCCTATAGTTAAAGGTGGTCCAGCAACAAAGATGGAAGAGGGTGAATAATATGCTATTGAAACCTTTGGATCAACTGGAAAGTAAGGATATGTTTATTCATTTATCATGTAGGGGTCATGTTGTTGAAGATTTAGATTGTAGTCATTACATGAAAGATTTTTATGCCAGTCCAGTTCCTATCCGCAATCCTAAAGCAAAAGCTTTGCTCTCTCATATTGAATAAAACTATTCAACTTTAGCTTTCTGTAGAAGATGGATCGAAGATGCTGGATTCGAGAAACATTTGATTCCTCTTAAAGCACTTGTTGATTCAGGAATCATTAATCCCTATCCACCACTTACTGATGTCCCTGGCTGCTATGTTGCTCAATGGGAGCACACAATTCTGTTAAGGCCCACTTGCAAAGAGGTCCTAACTAGAGGTGATGATTTTTGAGCTAGTTACACTGCCTAAATCATAAATAATTGATAATTAATTTAAAATTTATCATGAATATTATTTGAAGTTTACAATTATTATTTAATTGAATAATACTGGCTAATAATATTCATTCATTTATTATTCAATCATTCATTTCTAAAGGAGATGATTGTTGTACTTTCGAACTATCTATGAGAATGATGCTAGCTCACAGCATTCAATCTCACATGACTATTCTAGATAGCTGAGCCTTTATTTTGTTCATAGTAAACTTATTTCTAATTGTTATGCCCTTTATCTCCACTCTTTCAATTTTTTTATTTACATTCAGAAGCGCAGCTAGACCGTCGAAGCACTTTTCAGTTATTGGATTCTTGCTTAAATCTAAAACAACCACAGAATCAGAAGACTTAAGCTCTTCAAACAGTTCTATTGCTCCATCGTCCTTAATGCCACAATTGCTTAGTCTAATTTCTTCTAAGCCATCGCATAATGCTAAAACAGCTCCAACGCATTTTGCTCCGTAATTTCCAATTTATGTCTCAGAAATATCAATAACTTTTTCATTTTATTCCATGACATCCTTAAGGTAGTTCTCAATTTCATTGATCAATTCATCATCCAATTCTTCTTTTTCTGCTGCATTTGTTGTTTAAGCTGGAGTTGCTGTCGGAGTTTCCTCAGAGGATAAATGCACTAAGACCATTTACTTTTATGGAATAGAAACAGGCTGCTTTTGATTGGCTTTACTTTTCAATGGCTCGTAATTTTATAGATTCTATGTTGATTTAGTCTTAAAAGGTGACATGTGCTCAATATGTGTAAAAGACATATCAGAAAGTAAATCATGCTCATCCTCTCCAAAGACATGGCCAGGCTTTTTAGTAACATATTAATTTTAACCAATTCCTTGAGGAGTAGTACCAAATTGATTAGTTGGAACTTTACCAGCTCCTATGGTGGTTTGAGTAATACCTGTGTACTTTATTCCTTATTTTTCTTCTGCAACTTCATCCCCGAGTACTGATACGCCCTCAATAGGATCACATTTACAAATTTCATTGATACTCTTTATAGCGTTATTGTCAAAGACAACATTAAGCTATGAGATCATAGTTTCAATTTTTTGAGCCGAGACATCTTTCTATCCATCAAGTTACAACAAAATCTTTTCTCCTTGTTGTATGATATCTTGCTCAGTGGTGTACATTTTTTGAATCTTATTTTCAAGCATGTCAAATGCAATGTAGTTAGGATTTTGAGATTGCATTGTGAATCTATCAAGTTGAACTTTAGCATTTTTCAACCACTTTTCGGCATCATCAAATAATCTCTAAGGTACGTCTTTGATAATTTGGAAATTATTTTCAATGTGCTGTAGATTTTTCTTAAGAATCTGTTCAGTCTGCTGTTCCTAAATTTTTAGAGAAGCTTTTAATTCTTTGAATTTGGTTGAAACAAGCTATTTAAGCTCATGACTCTTGGATCTAAACTGAATAAGCAACTAATCGACTTAATTCTGGTCAACCTTGCATAGTTAATTAGATTCTACCATTTAATACATCTCCATTAAACACTCCGTTCTTACCTCGATTTCAGTAAGCACATCTGCTTCCATCCTAATATCATGGTTCTTATGATTTCCGAATAAGGCACAGTTTGAACATATCCTTTAGCGATCATCTATGCATATAATTTCAAGCTTCCTCTAATGAAGCTTGCAAAGTTCTTCTTCCAGTACAGGTTAGAGCTGCTCCCTTTGCTATTATGGCTGAGATTATGGTTGTTCTTACGCCATTTATTGCTACTACTGAAATTATTGTTACTTCAACTACTCCATCTATTGCTATTTAGCCTTCAATAACGTCTTCTCCGCTAATCTTAGCAGAGCAAAATTTTTAGGGTATTCCTCTGCAGAATTCTTTCTCACGCATTAAATACTACAATTATGAATAAGATTTATTAAATTTTACTTGTCTTCTGGGCAGAAGAACTCTCCCTCACTTTGAGAAAGTAGTGTGTTTAAACATGAAGTGCAGTAGGTATGTCCGCACTCTGGAAGCAACCTTGGTATTAAGTCGCCTTAGTTGGAATACTACCTTTGGCAGAGGCCACATGTCAATTCTTCAAATTACATAGTTGATGATTATTAAAATTATAAATTAAATAATTAAAAATTTATAATGGACCCATAATAAGACTCTAGATTAGCTAGACATGTGCTCTACCCAAAGATGGTTTATTTGGAGACGCTTATTTTATTCTTCGGAGCTAACTTCCTCTACCATTAGAACATCTATAGACACAACTGGAACAAACCCCAATTCGCAGCCTTTCTATTTGTAAACCTATTCACTAGCTACTAACTTGTTGAGGCTACTAATGTTGAGGCAGCTCGCTATCATGCAGCTATTTTCAACAATACTAAGGAGTTCGAGCATAGAGCACTCATGAATCAAAGACTAAGACTTAGGTTATACAATAATACTCAATGAGTCTTCAAAAAGGAAGGAACTCTCAGCAGTAGAGTAATATTATCTCAGTATTACGGTTCTGCATGTTCCATTTATTTAATATATTTAAACTATTCATTCTTGCTCTTTTTCCATTTTATCGATTCAAGTTTTAGGGGTTTTGGGGTTTTGGGGTTTTGGGGTTTTGGAAGCTTAGAGTCGAGTAATC